AAACAGTATTATTTATAAAATTATAGTGGATTTGAGATTCGAGAACCAGAAAGAACTGTTGTATAAAACAGGAATGTAAAAAGGCATATAATACTGAGTATTTTGAGTTGCGTACTCTTCAGTCCAATAAAAGATAATGTACAATATTCCAGAGGCACTTGGCGCATCACCAGTTTTGTTAATGTTCATTTGTACTGTCATAAACAACAACAACAATAATAATAATAACAATAAACATAGTGAGGGCAGTGATACAGAATTATAGGTAAAGGTTAAAGATCGTCATGGTGTAAAATCACACTCTGAATGGTCCAAAATTGCTTTTATCAAATCTGTGCCGCTTCAGAGGAAGATAAATGTCAGTGTATGTTTTTTGGTGAAAATTAAGATTTCTTTTGGTTCATTGATTGTGATGGGAGTCCCGAGGCAAAGAAATGAGGCACAGTTTGTCCATTAATGATGTGCATGACTCACTTATTAAAATAAATTCAAAACTCAAAACATCAAAACTCTGTTGCATCACATCGGCTGACAAATCAGCCGTCATATTTTATTAAGCACAAATATTGCACACATGCAACCCAGCCTCTGCTTTTACTTTTAGACATTGGAAGTCATTCATCTTGCCTTTTAATGAATGATTTTAAGTCGAGCATTTCTCCAGTCTTCGAGTCAAAATGCCTGTTTTGTGATAGAAATTTGGCTCTTAGGTGGTGTTATTTGGATGGAGAGATAAGATGTCTTCATTTCTCTCTTCTAACGCGCGTGAGTGATGAGGAGGAGGCTGAGAGAGGGAAGACTGTATTTTATGGATGGAGGTGGAATATAGATCAGCTAGAGATGTTTGTAATGAATCTCTGGATGTGATTACACGCGTGTGTGCCGCGATACGACTGAGAGCGTTTATCATCTCACAGGCATTTCAGGTCTCAGAGCAGCGGTGTTGCTGTGGTTAACATGCAGATGTAGCATGTGGTGTATTTCAAACAAGAACAATGTGATTTCTCTGGAATCTTATTGAGCTGTTCGTCAGCACTGCGGTGGGTCCTTAAACTGGTGTCATTAAAACTGGTTATATAGCAAAGTGTATTAAGTTGAACTAAACTCGTATGTGACCCTGGAGCACAAAAGCAGTCTTAAGTCGCTGGGGTATATTTGTAGCAATATCCAACAATACATTGTATGGGTCAAAATTATTGCATTGCTACGAACTTCATTTGGACAACTTTAAAGATGATTTTCTCAGTATTTTGATTTTTTTGCACCCTCAGATTCCAGATTTTCAAATAGTTGTATCTCGGCCAAATATTGTCCTATCCTAACAAACCATACATCAATGGAGAGCTTATTTATTCAGCTTTCAGATGATGTATAAATCTCAATTTTGAAAAATTTACCCTTATGACTGGTTTTGTGGTCCAGGGTCACGTATGCTGTTATTGTTTATGTGAAATTGAAAAAAAAAAGAAAAACAGAAGAAGAAGAAAATTTGAAGAAGCTTCATGCCAGGGTTATTATCGTTAGCTGAAACCAAAACCATAAAAAAACTTGAAAAAAAAAATATATATATGCATATAAATCTAAATGTATATAGGGGAGAGCAAAGTGCTTTGAGCCAGTTTTTATTTGCGGTGTGTTTAAAGCGAGCACATGACAGTAATGGGTTCAACTTAAATATGTACATACATTTCAGGATGTGGTGCATCCTTGGGAATAATCACATTGGATCTAAAATAAACTGCTTTCAAAATATGGCTTTCCAAAAAAAAGAGTGGTCTCTTGGCTCAATTTGAGCCACGTGGAGTTAAACTGTGCCATTGATTATGCTGAGGTAAAACTGAACATTTTTACCTCATGCTATATCAAAGGAAGAGAAATTCAATAAAAATGACTTCTTAAAATCTATGTGTGAGCCTTGTGATGGACTGACCGTTCATCCAGGGATTTTCCTCGCCTGTGGCTCAAGACGCTCAAGACCAATGAAAAAAAAAAAGAAAAAACTGACTGCAGTTGACCATAAAAAACTAGGCTAATAGCAGGAAAATACAGTTTCATAAAACTTCAATGGCCAATTTTCATAAACAAGGCCTATTTAAAATGTTCAAGTTCAAGAAAATCAAGTTCAAAACAAAGAACAAAATCAAAATTTTTTGGTTTAAAATTAATAAAATATGTAGAAATAGTACTTTATAATAATAAGAAGGGGTGAGCCACTGACTCAACTTACCCCAAGACGTTCGGCAAAACTACCCCACTCCGACCATTTTAACAAACTTGTATCATCATCAATTGTATCATATTATTATATTGATATTTTTTCAGATTTGTCTATTTGTTCGGACACAGATGCATGAGTCCTTGAACATAAAGACAAAAAAAATCCCTTTGAACAGCAAAAAAACTGTTTTATGAACCTAAATGTACTTACAAATTATCCCATGGGCCTCTCTCCATCACAAGGTGAGTAAAATGGTTAACTCTTCCAATATGTGTGGGTCATATCACCAATTTTGTTTAAGGTTGCCTAGTAACAAGGGGTGGCTCAACTTCCCCACAGGCTCAAATCACCACACTCTCCCCTATAATGCATAAATTATATATATATATATATAAATCCTCACTAAGGCTGCATTTATTGGATCAAAATACAGTAAAAACAGTAATATTATGAAATATTATTTTAATTTAAAACAGCTGTTTTCTATGCGAATATCTGTTAAAATGTAATTTATTTCTGTGATCAAAGCTGTATTTTCAGCATCATTACTCCAGTCTTCAGTGTCACATGATCTTCAGAAATCATTCTAATATGCTGATTTGCTGCTCAAGAAACATTTCTGATTATCATCAATGTTGAAAACAGTTGTGCTGCACAATATTTTTGTGGAAACCGTGATACATGTTATTTTTCTGGATTTTTTGAATAGAATGTAAAAAAAACAACAACATTTATTTAAAACAGAAATCTTTTGTAACACTATAAATGTCTTTACTGTCACTTTTGATCAATTTAATGTGTCCTTGCTGAATAAAATTATTAATTTCTTTCAAAAAACTTTCTGAAACAGCTTTCTTAAATCAAAAGACTTTCAACATGGCCTCTTCTTGTTTAAATAATGAACTAGCTGCAGGTTCACCTTAGATGCTTTGCTGATGTGCATTTAGATTTTGAAAGACAACCTGAACTGTCACTTTAACCAAAGCACAAGTGTTTACTTGAGAATTTTATCTGATTGAATGCCATGTTGATTTGATATCAAATGCATTTACATATCCTCAATTTCCTCTGAGCCCAGAATGAATTTTCCTGCCTAAAGATAAGATTGACCTGATTAATCTGAGTGATGGCTTTGAATTAACATATTTACACACACACACACACACACATACACACACACACACACATACACACACACACACACATACACACACACACACACATACACACACACACACACATACACACACACACACACATACACACACACACACACATACACACACACACACACATACACACACACACACACATACACACACACACACACATACACACACACACACACATACACACACACACACACATACACACACACACACACATACACACACACACACACATACACACACACACACACATACACACACACACACACACACACATAGTGTCGCTGCAGGAGCGCTGTAGTGGATGATGTGAATTGAATTGGACTGAGATCGGATGTCAGCTTATCAGATGGCTAAGGTGCTGCTGGACTGAAAAAAGTGCATCTGTCTCAATACTATGTACGATGTTTGAAATCTAAACTCAAATAGCAGATCGATCGAGACAAATCCTCTGCTGGCTGCAGCCCCACACATGCACCAATGAAAAAGACAGCCTCACAGGAAATTGAGAACTGAGAGCAAACAGGAAACAAGTTTGGAAAGTGATTTTGAACGTGAACTCCATCCAACATTACACATTTAATATAAGAGTCACCAGAAAAACACAAGAAGCATTAAATATTAAATAACATATAACTGACAAATGAAATCAAACTGAAAGTTAAAGCAGTAAAAAAAAGAAAATTACAGTAGCAACATTTCTAGTTTTATAGATAGTTTACAACTAAATGCATTTTTCATAAACATAAATAATGTTAATATAACAAATTACTAAAAACTGTTTTTTTTACCTTTATAATAATCTCACAACCACCTTAAAAATGCAAGTGGTAATGAGAAAGTCAGACACAGACACAAAACACCATCATGATATACCACACACTAAATGACACTAAAATAATGTGATGAACATTCATTTATCAACATATTCTGTTACACCAAATACACAAAATAATGATCTTTAAAAAAGCATCATATGACCCCTTTAATAACAGAGTTAACTGTGACTTATCTCACGATTCTGACTTTTTAAAAATAGTTTATATCTTGCAATTCTGAGTTTTTATGTCACAATTTTGAGGGGAAAAATCTGAATTGTGAGATGTTTTTTTTTTTTTTTACAAGTTTTTTTATTTTCTTATCCTGTGGCAGAAACAGGCTTTCATAACAAGGAAAATCTGCCAATAGGGTAAGTCAAATAAACTTAATTCTGAATTTTCTGAATTTTTTTCTTGTTTTATGTAAATACTCACCTAATTTTGATAAATTTTTCAGAAACGCACTAAAACACACCAAATGACACTAAAATAATGCAATAAACATTAATTTAACAACATAAAATCATAATGTACATACAGTCTATCATGGGGGGAAAAACTAAGAAGAAACATGAAAAACCATCAAATGTGAAGCGTCAAGTTCTGGGAATGTCAATTTGTATTTTATTTCACTGTAAATTGTAAGATCATTTTCACTTTCAAAAACTGTAAATTTAACATTATTTACTGTAAAAAACTAAACATAAAATGTCCCATTACATCTATTATTCTGAATAAATAAGTCTGAATCTGAATCTGAATAAATGAGCTTTCCACTGATGTATGGTTTGTTAGGATCGGACAATGGGAAAACTCCCTCGGCTACGTTTGAAAGTGCCAGGTAAGACGTGAACACGGTTAAAAGGATAGTTCAACCAAAATCAAACTCTTTCAAACATTTCCTCACCCCCATATCATTCCAACATATATGATTTTCCTTTGTGAAACACAAACCGACATGCAGAATGAATGTTGATCATAAAGAGATTTTCGGTCAATAACAGCCTGAATGTGAGTCCTCACAGAAAGCTACATTCAGAAGAATATAGTGAGCAAGTCATAACTTTATGATACATTCATTGCATTTTTTGAGCTTCGCCATATAAATCACTTTTGTTGATTGAAGAAGAGCATCTTAGACATTCAGAACATCTCATTTTGTGTCAAATCAATTAGTGGGGTTTATTTTTTTAATTAATTTTTTTTTTTTCCAGATTGTTTTTCTGTCCCCATTGGTTGAATTTTTTTCTTGTTCAATGCAAAAACTTGCTTAATTCTGATCCATTTTTCAGAAACAAGCCTTCATATCAGATGTCATTTTCCTTCTGAAGTAAACATATCTTGATTTAAGAATGTGTAGATATTTGTACTGGAAAACAAAAATGCTGAGGAAGAAACACATTTTTTGTAGTGCTTGAATGA